ACAAACCCAAATACATTAGAGAGATATTAATAACATTTGCATTGAACTGTTAGATGGGTGTATCTATATAGAGAGTAAAGATGGACCCTTCAGGACTAGTTTGCAATAAATGTTTTTTTATTGTATGGTTATTAAATACTTCAATTATAGTTGAATTTTCTTGCAAGTTACTCTTTTATTCATTGACTATTATTATATCAGAAAGGGGGTTTTTGTGGAGATTGTAGTAATTTAATAGTTGAATTCATGGATCAATTGAAGGTAGACCACCATGGAAGACGTGGAATCACTGAACGGTGGTTTCGTCCTAGTAAGAGTCTCCTTCATAGTGAGTATCCACGATCCCACACACACGATGTGAACGTGTTGTAACGTGAAAAAGGGCTGCTACTGATTGAAGGTTGGCGAGCGCGAATTATCGATCCGACCAAAGACGCGTAAACACGTAAGAATGGCGTAGAGTCCTGGTTGGTCCCGCTTCCCTGTCTAGCCCAGCCAGTTGAGTCCAGAACGCAAGTCCCAGCCTAGGATATATGAATCATTATATTTCGAACACACTCTGTTTATATACTAATCAAGCAGACCACATCGTACCATAAAATAGAAAATAACATTGTACAATATTGACCGGTAGGAAAATGACACGTTAGATGAATATTGACCAATGAGGAAATAATACCATTTCCAAGTCCAAGAATAGCATTAGACTTAATAGAATAATTTTCGGGATATTTTTCTGAATATCCCAACAGAACTCAAGATCTTCAGTCGAGCACGCGAACGTTTAACATTTAAACCGCTTAGCTAGCATCCAACAGTTCTAATGTCTAACTTCAACCAATCCACGATATTGCGCGACCGTCCACCATTGTTTTCAGTGAGTAACTGCCTCACAGCAGACACGGTTGAACTCCACTGATCACTGCCTCTCACTAGAACTCCAGGAAATATATCTTGAAGCCAGTCACTAGTGCCCAAATGATAACTGAAGTGATCAAACAGACAACTTGCGTTTAGAATTCTATCTAAAACTTGCTTGTGAGATTGTGGATGAGCACTGCTGATGAGTCCCGTACTAGAACGAGACGGCCGTACAGGGCTTCCAGGTTTTCCATGATAGTCTGGCTTCAATCGACTCATGAATTCAATTACTGCTATGATATGTTTACTGTCTCCCAATTGTATTTAATTAACTATAGACCTATCAGTCAGTTTTGTACTACTTATAAATTGATTGTGAACACAAAAAAGTCGAGATCATAATTTATAGACGAATCAATGGTATTAAAGACAACAAGCTTTGTATTCATGAGGTTGAATAACATGTGGAAGATTTTGGTTGGTGTCAGTTCGCAATGAAAACCTTAACTGTTAATTTCAATCATAGTTATACACACTAATTAATAACCGATCCTTGATCCTAATAAGTATGTAGAGCTTTTCAGAGTCACTTTAGCGGTTCCTCTTCCTGAAGGAAAATGGAAAAGAGGAAGGCTAAATAATACACTGAGCCGAGAAATGGAAGTAGATATCAAAAGGATAAATAGCAACTAGAAACAACTGGAAAGGAGTGTTCAGGATAGAGTTCGATGAACAATGCTGATGAATGGCCTCTGCTCCACCATGAGGGTTAATAGGCGTAAGTAGAAAAGTAAATAAGTAACTTTAGCGTCGCTTATTTCTGATGCATTATGGACATATTACTAATATTTAGACTAATATATAGGACTCACTAGCTAAGTGAATAACTCAATGTTGTTTGAAGCGGATCGTACTGAGTTCAAGTCTCAGAGTAAACATCAACTTTGAGATTCAGATACATCCAGTTGACTCGTCCTAAATAGGACGAAATGCGTGTCCTAGATTCCACTGCTTATGAATTAGGGCTATATTGAGGCGATTCACACAGAAAGTACATATGCCAACAAGGGATTGATCAATCGCAGGATGAAAATAGAGAATAGTGAATAATAGAAAGTTTATCCATTTGCCATTGTTCACGTTCTAACTAGACAGAAGCTCGTTGAATGAATAGACAATAAAATCTACCATTATTCTACTATTAGTCAATTGCACAAGCAAGTGGCTACCAGAATTCAGTAGCAGGGTGGATAACACTATGGCGTTTGAAGCGAATGGTACTGGGTTCGAGTCTCAGAGTGAACATCAACTCAGATGCAAGTACATCAAGCTGACGAGTCCCAAATAGGACGAAACGCGCGTCAAACTGGATTACACTGCTAACCACTATCCATCATTGCTTACAAAAAAAGCTTATGAATTAAAGCAATATCGAGGCATACGCACCAGTATGCACATATGCCAATAACAGACTGATTAATTGCAGTCTTAAATCTCAATAGGAAGATACAAACCAAATAATATCAAGTGAATTTATTACTCAATTAGTTATAAAATTCCATTAAAACAACAAACTTACTGCTATTAAACATCCAGTAGTAATTAATAAACCTAAACCTGCACTATATCCACTACCAATTCTATGTGCAATTGGTCCAAATATATTTGTACCAACTAGATATGATAAACTAGCTGGTAGAAATGCAATACCTTGTTGCCATTCTGTAGAATTCATTCTAGTTTTCATCCATAATGGTAAAGTTGGTTCTAATACAGACATACCAAGATTACCAAATGTAATTGAACCTTAATGTGTATAAAATAAAATGAAGAGAAGCAATAAGTGAATGAAAGACTGGGAATATCACTTACCTTAAGATTGTCGATATGTCTAACAGGAGTAAAATGTACCAGCCTTCAAATGCTCTGGTACGGTTGAGGGTGGAGAGAGTCAGCTTTCCCTCTCGAAACGCTCTTACATAGTCACGTGCAAACAACCACTGCCATAAAAGTCCTACTCACTGAGCTCTCGCAAATGGGAGTGTCATTTATGAAATTGAGTGGAAGAAAAGCGCATGTCCGGAGCTTTAATCGGGTTGGTGGATATGGAGGATCCACCTAGGGGAGTTGGTAGACCCTAATTCCAAACCAATAGTGTACATGGGCTCAAGGGTTCTGAGGGAACAAATGGCGTTTGAAACAATCGTTGGTGACCGACTACCATGGGACTACATCTCCTTACATTACTTCATCGCCTTGTGGATCAGACCTTTAGGTCGAAGGCTCCGGGTGTGGCTGCGTAAGAAAGCCACCAGTTTCGGTCTGGGCATCCGAGCAGTATCTCAGCCCACTCACAAATCAAGTGATTTATGTTACTTATATTTACTCAGTGCCCCTTTGTTCCAACGTCTATGTGTTCAAATCATAATAAATAAGTAAAGTGCATTCTATCTGCGATAGTGGGCGGCTACACCTACAGAAGCTATGGTTTCTGATAATGACCTTCATGTGGTTTTTTCTGGTCAACTGCTGTCATAGTCCTGTTAATCCTGTTAGCGATCACTTTATCTACTCACAAAAACTGCACACATCAAACTGAATTTCTTATACGAGTATGGTCGCACAAGAAATGCTCTTATTCTGTCGAGAGATATAACAGTGGTTTTAAAGACTGTCTAGCGATTTGATGTGGATTCATCACAGTTGTACTGAAAGTCATCGAGGCGGTTAAGTGGGATCAAGATAAGCCTGAATCTTTTCGATGGAGTAGGATAAAAGATCATACCCCATCCAGTGTCTAGAGATGACATGCAGTCTTAATAAGGGTATGGATACTTTTGAATTTTCATTGTTAAATTTTGTTTACTGGTCCCGGAAAGAATAGATTCTTATCCAAGTTTATGTGAATGCAGAGGGAACACGGACTTCTGTTTCTACAGTTAACTGGAACCTGTGTTTCGTGAGTATAATCACTGTCGGATCGGTGACAACGTCTCAATAAGGGTGATATAATCCAGAGTACTCATGTGTGATGGGTAATAGCTCGTCACTTTCTTAAGGACCAAAGGTTAAGTAGGATGTGGATTGGTGATTTGGATCCTGTTATCTAGGGACCTCTTGAGGACCGCCTTCATACGTTTCTTCTATGATATCCTATTACTTCAACAATTGTGTTATGGCCTCATTTAAAAGTAAATTCAGCTAAGCGGATGAGATCATCAGTTCTCGGGTAACGATGGCACCAACACTACAAATTTTCTTGGTCAGGAAGAGTTTAACACTTTTAGGAAAGAATGTCGAAACTCAAGATAGAGGGGAAAAATGAATAACTCATGGGTCATCTTCCCTGTGACTAATCCTGAACCGCAGTTAAACAATCTGGATACATTATTATGGCTTAGACAAACAACTAATAACTTTATAGAATGATGTCAGCATCTGTTTTTCTCAGCTGTTTTGAGATAAAGCTTTGATCACATAAAAGGATCTCAAAAAAGGATTATGTCAACAAATATTGAACTTTCAATGGTTTAGATCATGATTCAATTGAAGCTAGACCACCACGAAAAACCTGGAAGCATTGGACCACTTTTTTGTCCTATTGTGGGACTCCTCAGCAATGCGCATCCACGATCTCGCCCCCTGCGAGATTCGAACTCAGGGCCTATCAGTCTCGCGCGTGAGCGCTTAGTCACTAGACCATTGAACTGCCCGGCATCCAACGGTGTTAATGTCTAACTTCAACTAATCCACGAAATTGAGAGACACATCCACCATTGTCACCAGTGAGTTACTATCTCACAACAGACCCGATTCGAATCTCACGAGGAGGGATTGTAGATGCCCACTGCCACTGAAGAGTCCTACAATAATATGAAATGGCGGTTCAGTGCTTCCAGGTTTTCCACGGTGGTCTAACTTCAGTTGATTAATGATCTCAACCATTCAAATTACTGTAATATCCACAAAACTCCCTTCTGATATAAATATTGAACTAATTAAACATAAACTAACCAGCTGCTACTAAAATATATGGATCTTTTAACAATTCAGTTAATTTTGAACCTTCTTGACTTTCACGTTGAATCTTTGGTTTCAAGACTAACAGTTGTAGAACTAAATGTTGGAAATAAACACAATAACGCAATATGATTGATATAAACAGAATTATACAAATACAATTATGAACAAAATTATTTATAGAGGAGTTAATGTATTCAACAACTTGAAAAGACTGTTCAGAACCATAGTTGGATGATGAATCCTGGTTGACGGTCTATGATCCTCTACGAGGAGTAACAGGCGTTAGTAAGTAAGTAAGTAAGCAGGTAAGTAAATAATGATACTCCGCAGCATTGTGTATTCATACCTCTGATTGTGAATTAGGTCTAACCCTTTCAGTCTAGCTCGCGAGACATTCACGTCGGTAGAGCATTAGATGTATCTAGCCGAAACAATTATCCAATACTGCCTGATATTTGATATTCTTTCTAAATAGTATCTGTTCTTGATGTACATTATGAATATTTCATAATCTTTACAATACCTTATGATCATTCTACAATCGTGAATGAACATTTGAATTGATTCTTGTTAGTGATGGTGGTGTTTACTTCGAATTCATGAAGGTTGTACCAGTGTGAAATATTCTAGAACCGACAAGAGTATCACTATTTGGCATTTATGTAGCCATTCCAGATATTTATCGTAGTATCAAACCATAATCATTCAATAGCTATTTGAATTGTCTACTGATTACATCATCTTCATCATATAGATTTTATTGTATTGTAATCAATGAGAACATATGTGCCAGGATAACCAAATGTATTTCAATATACCATTACATAATATGTTGGTAAAATCTAACAATCATACATTGAATACTTCATTTACAAATTTGATTATTCCTTCATTTCCATATTAATCACTCTTTATTCTCATTCTCTTCTCTTCAATTTTCTCAACTATCTGTTGATAGGCATTCCATTTTCGATTGTTCCTACATACTACTTATATCTGTTGACATCAGTAGTACACACCATAGGACAACCAAATGTACTGGGATACAAAATTATAGAGTTATTTGATAAAATGTGAATACCATACTTTAAATACATCATTTGCAGAATATCCATCAATTGTCTCAGATTTGATTGTTCCTTCATTTCCATATTGATTACTCTCTATTCTCATTCTCTTCACATTTCCCAACTTTTTACTGCCAGGGATTCCATTTTCGATTGGTATTACATACTACATACATACTACATACCAAAAACGTGGAATCAGTCCTTAAAGTCACTAACTTCTAGTGTGAGCCATGTGGGTAGATACAGACTAGTTGGTTGTGGTTCGCGTGACTATCATAACCAATGGTTGGAGACTGCAGGTGGCATGGCTCAGAATCGATCACAATGGCGTAGGTGTATACACTCTCTGTCTTCCTTTAAACTATGAGATTAAAATCACTTCATATCTTTCCTTCTACGAACTAATTCTTTCGTCTCTTACTATATCTTTATATGCAATGTTCCCTTTGTATATTACCACCATTGAATTAACTAATTGTATGAATTTGGTATTGATGCTGTTATGCTAATGAGGTATGGCAACTTATGTGCCTGATCCTACGTTGTAGTTAACTGACTAACATACTACTTATATCTGTCAATATCAGTAGCACACAATATATTATGATCATTTATGAATTTTACATTAATACTTATTCTATTATGCAACATTACAAAGTGTACTTTCTAGTTTCTATATCCTTTTTCATTCAACTATGAATAGTTAATGAAAGATTAATATCTTATGTATGTTTATATATATTGAAGTCAAATCATAATAGATCACTTCAACTTACTTCCATCAACAACAGTTATACTAGCCAGAATGAGAAATGGTGCTTGTTTACTTATAAATTGATATGTAATTCCTCCATAGGGGGCACCAACTTGAAAAAAAGGAAGCACAATATATATAACTAAGAATTAGTCTGTTTTGATGTATGAATTGAAATGATTGTTTACAAACACATTGGGAAAATCCCGATTGAATTATACAAAGTACATATTAGGTAATGGAGAATCAGGTAACAATTTGATGTTTCTATGGAGTGAGTAAACTGACTTCATTATGTGTGTTGATGGAAACACGGTTCTGTAGACGCGACAGTTCACAGAATGTAATTAGGAAATTAATCAACCAATCAATCGACCTATCTATCTATCTATCTATCTATCTATCTATCTATCTATCTATCTATCTATCTATCTATCTATCTATCTATCTATCTATCTATCTATCTATCTATCTATCTATCTATCTATCTATCTATCTATCTATCTATCTATCTATCTATCTATCTATCTATCTATCTATCTATCTATCTATCTATCTATCTATCTATCTATCTATCTATCTATCTATCTATCTATCTATCTATCTATCTATCTATCTATCTATCTATCTATCTATCTATCTATCTATCTATCTATCTATCTATCTATCTATCTATCTATCTATCTATCTATCTATCTATCTATCTATCTATCTATCTATCTATCTATCTATCTATCTATCTATCTATCTATCTATCTATCTATCTATCTATCTATCTATCTATCTATCTATCTATCTATCTATCTATCTATCTATCTATCTATCTATCTATCTATCTATCTATCTATCTATCTATCTATCTATCTATCTATCTATCTATCTATCTATCTATCTATCTATCTATCTATCTATCTATCTATCTATCTATCTATCTATCTATCTATCTATCCTATCTATCTATCTATCTATCTATCTATCTATCTATCTATCTATCTATCTATCTATCTATCTATCTATCTATCTATCTATCTATCTATCTATCTATCTATCTATCTATCTATCTATCTATCTATCTATCTATCTATCTATCTATCTATCTATCTATCTATCTATCTATCTATCTATCTATCTATCTATCTATCTATCTATCTATCTATCTATCTATCTATCTATCTATCTATCTATCTATCTATCTATCTATCTATCTATCTATCTATCTATCTATCTATCTATCTATCTATCTATCTATCTATCTATCTATCTATCTATCTATCTATCTATCTATCTATCTATCTATCTATCTATCTATCTATCTATCTATCTATCTATCTATCTATCTATCTATCTATCTATCTATCTATCTATCTATCTATCTATCTATCTATCTATCTATCTATCTATCTATCTATCTATCTATCTATCTATCTGTCTGTCTGTCTGTCTGTCTGTCTATCTGTCTGTCTATTCAAGTCTTTGTCAACCTGGCTTGTTGTGTCAGTTTTTCTGTTTAGCGTTTATCGGATAGCTTAATTGATGAATGAATGTTGGTGATATAAGTTTCTATCTTACAGTATAACTGTAATAATTGAAACGCCATTCGTTATATTGAATTTACTAGTCAACATATTACATTACTTTCATCATTAACATTATTATAAATATAGATTTACTTACTTAATAACCCTATAGCAAGTCCACTTAAAGCAATAGCAAATGCACGACCTCGTTCTGTTTCATCAATATAATAAGTGGCTAACATTCCCATTCCTATATTATAAGAAGAAATATAAACAACAACAACAACAACAACAACTGAATGATCCATTCACTATTATCATTTTGTCAATATTTACCTTGATTTCATTCTTAAATGTCTAAACTTGAAAATAACATTCAATATCATTCATTGATATATTGGTTTAAGACTGTAAATGATCAGTCTCTCAAAGTGGATATCAACTTTGGAATGGAGCTGACGAGTCTTAACTAGGTCGAAACACATATCGTGGATTTCACTGCTAACCACTATCATCTCTGCTTATAGTAATCAATGTATCTTTCTCTTCGTAAAGTTGATTGAATGAGGTGTCATATGAGTTGTTGAATAGTTTGTATATGATGATGATAATTAGTTGCCTTCAGTTATTTACTATTTAGGAAGGTTAACAAATTTATCAAGAATTACACTTATTCAGTAGTTTAAGAAAAAAAACACGATTGCCCCTCTTAATAAGACTGTCATATCAATAGAAATGTAGAGATGTATTCTGTGTACATAAGCACGATCTACCTTAATAAGCAAAGTTTCCTTGCATAAGTGTAGGTTGGTTGTAAGCTAAGAACTCCCATATCATAACGTGGGATCAGTTCATGAAAACACTAACGATTGAACTGAGCCGTCATTCTGAATAGCACATATATACTCAAAATGTTTCTTCACTTAAATATTGAGGTTTAAAATTAACTGACACGTTCCATTCTACTTAATCATTATTTCTTCTCCAATCATATAGTCTACTAACACTGATACACTAGTATGAGACTCCTCCTCCGCTCCGTGAGATTCGAACCTATCACATTATCGGTCTCGCTCGCGAACCCTTAACCTCTAGATTATTGAGCCAGCATCTGACGGTTATCATTCAGTCGATACATTTGTTTGGATATCTCAAGCTAACATTGATTTTTGTTGTGAGATAATCGCTTAAGCACTTTTTCGAAAACTGAAATGTACATACATCAATAACTTATGAACAAAACCTGTACTGATCACTTTAATATAGCCATTTTAATATAAGTTGTTGATATAGAATAGATGGGATATGGTCAGTAATGGAAATGAAAACGCATATTTCATCCTATTTGTGAGATTAACTAAGATTGATCAAATTTCAGCAAAGAATATTAATGTTATGTTCCGACCAGTATAATGAATGGTAACTTCTGGATTCTATTGATGGACTAATACTAAACGTATATTACTATTGTATGTTTGAAATATAATGATTCACATCGCAGAAGTTGAGACTTGTGTTCTGGAATTAAGTGGCTGGGCTAGGTGGAAAACAGGGCCAATCAGAACTCTAGACTGCTCATACGAGTTTACGCGTTATTGATTCGATTGATAAGTCACTGCTCTCTAATTGGCGGTCACAAGATATAACAATGAGCAAGGGAGTAATTAAAATTATTTCAAGCTGAATTAAATCGCATACTTATTACACCAATGAGTAGTTATCTGAACTCATTAGCTAGTTAGATAATGCAATAAAGTTTAAAGTAAACAGCCCTGGGTTCGAGTCATGGAGAGAATATTAACTGATGAGTCACTGATGGGACGAAACACACGTTCTATGTATCCATGATAGTCTTACTTGATCCATTCTATATCAGTGCAAAATAACATCATATGTATACATTTTACAGAAGATGTAACATGAAATGTGAGTGTTATGGAACTATTAAAGTACATTTGGAGTGTAAATATACTGGTGTTTAAGCGACCGCGAGCGGAATCGAAGGTCCTGAATCCATATCTTTCGTATGGGAACATGTATGTGCACTGCCACCGACGAGTCTTATACTAAGCAGTGACCAGTGGAGTTTAACTGGGTCAGTTGTGAGATAGTAACTCACTGATAAAAATGATGGATGTGTTGCTCAATTTCGTCGATTAGTTGAAATTAAACATTGACACCATCAGATGATGGCTCAATGGTTATGATGTTAAGCGTTCTTTGATCGTGAATGCGTTCTATTAAGAAGTCTTATACTAAGACGAGACAGACTTCTACTAATTCCGGGTTTTCTATAGTGGTCTAACATTCATCAATTCATGAATTCAACTATTAAATGACTACAAATCATCACAAAACTTCTTTTCTGACAATAATCTCATAATTGAAAAAGAGATATACTCAATGACTCATCAAATGTTTCAATGATTATGTAGATTCAACGAAATCTATGATATGAATTTATTGTGGACCGTGGTGTGGCTACGCTAACATCTACCGACTAACCAACTTCATATATCCTAGTAAGACCCCAATACTGTTCCCCAACAAAATTGATACCATGTCTACACTCCATAATGTATATAACTTACCGGATACAGATGAACATGCTGATCCAACACCTTGAATAGCTCTGGCAATCAATAAAATGTAGAAATTTGTTTCAAAAGCAAAAACTATAATAAAATAATGAAATGAACAAATCATCTACTGATTAAACAAAGTAAAGATTGTTATATTATAAAGAATTCAATTTGATCTTGTTTAAAAAATGTGTATTAAAAGTTTTATGGTTTCTATACTACTTATATTGATAGATATAAGTAGTATGTAGTAATAATCGGAAATAGGAGTAGATAACTAATATCAAAGTCGGAATTTTCAATATAAATGTCAACACAGTTCTAATGTATGAGGACTTGCCTCGTGATGCAGTTTGACGATTTGCGTAATGTATGTCCTATCCATTTCCATCGTCTTTTCCTAATTTCTTCTTCAGCTGGAAGTTGGTTTGTTCTCTCCCACGGAAGGCTATTGCTGATGGTATCCGGCCAATGGATGTTGAGTATCTTGCGTAGACAGTTATTTATAAATACTTGTACTTTCTTTATTGTGGTTGTTGTAGTTCTCCAAGTTTCAGCTCCATACAGTAGAACTGCCTTGACGTTGGTATTGAAGATTCTCACTTTGATATTGGTTGAAAGTTGTTTTGAGTTCCATATGTTCTTCAGTTGTAGGAAAGCGGCCCTTGCTTTGCCGATCCTCGCCTTTACGTTTGCATCTGAACCTCCTTGTTCATCGATGATGCTTCCTAGGTATGTGAAGGATTCTACATCTTCCAGAGTTTCGCCATCGAGAGTGATTGTATTGCTGTTTTCCGCTTTGAATTTGAGGACCTTGGTTTTCCCTTTGTGTATGCTGAGGCCTACTGATGCAGAGACTGCTGCTACAGGCGGAGTTTTTCATCTATACTACGGTACTCTTTAATTTTGTATAAAACAAAATTCAGTTTACCCTACGACGTTTCTTATTCATTCCACTAATACTCACATCACTGTTTTTGTCACTACAACCAATAACACTGCCAATACTAATCCAGTGAAATTCATTTCACCTTGATCAATTCTATTAAATTCTATACATAATCAAATATGGATGGTGATTAGTAGTGGGATCTAGGTCGCGCGTTTCGTTCTATTTGAGACTCATCAGCTGGGTGTTACCTGCACCCGAGTTGGTATTCGCACTGGGACTCGAACGTAGTACCTTTCGCTTCAAATGTTATCTATACTGGGTTCGAATTCTAGAGTGTTCTGGATTCCACTACTAGTCACCATCTATCTCTACTCATAAAATTATTGTGAATTAAAGCAACATCACCGCAATCCACACATGATGCACACATATACCAACAACAGACTGATCATCAATTACAGTCCTAAATAATAATGGAAACATACAAGCAAACAGTACCAAATGAATTTATATACGAAATGATCTTCCAGTGCTTCCATGTTTTCCATAGTGATCTAGCTTCAATTGACTTATGTATTCAATTATAACATTACAAATGTATATGCATATATAAGAGACTATGATAGAATTCTAAATGGAAACTTACTAATTATTGATATAAACAAGAGTATGAATCCAGTAAACATTGGAATACTATAACCAATTCTATTCAACAAAAAATAAACAAACAAATTCATGGATTACAATGATATATAAAGAAAGTTGGTTTCATAAACAATCACTGAATCCGTGATCGATATCCATCTACTACTAATGACTGGCTTCAAGAGGCATATCCTGGAGTTCAAGTGAGACGTAGTGGCCAATGGAGTTCAACTAGGTCTGTTGTGAGATAGTAACTCACTGATGAAAATGATGGATGTGTCGCTCAATTTCGTGGATTAGTTGAAGTTAGACATTAACATCCATTGGATGCCGGCCCAGTGGTCTTGTGGCTAAGTGCTCGCGCGCGAAACCAGTAGGTCCTGGGTACGAATCGCGTGGGGGGAGAGGTCGCAGATGCGCACTGCTGAGGAGTCCCACGGTAGGACGAAACAGCTGTCCAGTGCTTCCAGGTTTTCCATGGTTGTCTAGCTTCAAATGACTCATGATCTTAAGCATTTAAATTACTATAATATCCACAAAACCCATCTGATATTAATCAATGAATACTTGATTGGTATCCAATAATGTTAATGTATCAACTTCCATCAGTTTATGATATTGTACGATCGATCATCTTCCATTTTGTTCGATTAGTAACTGCACATGACACCGATGACCTTCGGTTCAAGTTCTGAGTGTGAGATAGTGAATGCGCACTGTTGAAGAGTCTCATAGTAAGACGAAACGACCGTCTATTGCTTTTAGGTCTTCAATGGTAGTCTAAAATTGATCAGTTTATGATCTTAATGAAATTCAACAATCTTTACAATCCTATGTTGATGATCACTGAACAATTAGGAAGTATTGAATAGTTGTTTATTCTAAAAATAAGAGTCCATTGAACTTTCCTCTTTGAAATTAATAATGATTGTTTAGCTTAAATTATTCAGTAGTATACTAAAAGAAACTAGTAACTATTGTGTTTGAAGAAGATTATTGAAGTTGATAATTCTATATTTTACAGGATGAACTGATCTTAGCAAGAGAATCATTGTAAGCCAGGAAGTATTGGGTAACCGTTCCGTCCTAAGCAAGGATAGATAGTGGCTAGCGGTGGAATCCAGTTAGACGCGCGTTTCGTCCTAGTTGGGACTCGCCAGCTGCATATACCTGCATCTCAGTTGATGTCTATTCTGGAACTCGAACCCAGTACCGTTCGCTTCAAATGCCACCGCCTTATCCACTTAGCTACTGAGTCCTGATAGCCACTTGCTTGTACAACTGTGTCCTAGATTCCACTGCTGGCCACTATCCATCTTTTCTTATAATAGGTGTCATTACCAAGGTTTGATTTGATAATTTCGAATAAATTGAGCATTGGGTTGATTGTTATAAATAAAAATAATATATTTGTAATATCCCAATGAGTAGAAAATTGGATTTTCTGACGTTTCGTGGCTTAGTGTAAGTCACTTCTTCAGAGAATAAATAACCATTTATTCTCTGAAGAAGTGACTTACACTAAGCCACGAAACGTCAGAAAATCCAATTTTCTACTCATTGGGATATTACAAATATATTATTTTTATTTTTCTTATAATGCTTGCAAATCAAGGCAATATCGAGGCAATACGCAGAGTATGCACATATGTTCCGTCCTAGTATATTCTGTGACTAGTATAGTTCACTTATTCTAAGGATGAGTCATTTTTTCACCAGTCACACTGTAAGATTATTACCCTTTATCGTGAATTGATGAAAGTTAGATGAGTAAAATAAAAACTAGTATGGCACTCCAAAGCAGTATACAATCACGATCCCACCACTCAAGATTCGAACCCATAACCTATCAGTCTCATGAACGAACGCTTAACCTCTAGACCACTGAACCAGTATCCAAAGTTCATGTACGAGACTAAAAGTCCTGGATTCGAATCATACAAGTGGGATCGTAGATTCACACTGCTATGGAGTCCCATACTACTTGAACAAGTTGATCGTCCAGTACTTCAATGTCTTCTCTTTTTGTTCATCTTCTTCATTTATCTATTAATCTGTTGATTAGACATCAGTTACTATATTTAGCAAATCCATTACTATAAGACATTAATATAATGACTTATCTTCATAATAGATATTTCATTCAAATGTTCTATAGAATGTCTTAGAAATATAGACTATGAAACATTTCAGATGATTTTAATCAATCATTTAAAGGTGTTATAATCTATCGATTATCATCATGATAACCGATATTATTTGTAACTAAGGCAATGTGATTGGTACAGAAGAATAAATCGATTCAGGGTCTTATCAACTACTTAAAATAGAAATTGATATACTTTTAGTAACTACGTTAGTGATTCATGATGAATAGAGGTATTAGGATATAAGAAAGATTTCAATAGAATTCATAAAGTAGCTAAATGGATCATGTGATAAGGGTTTTTGAAGTGAACAGTATTGAGTTCGAGTCCTGAAGTGAACACCAATTCATCAAGTGAAGGTATCATCAACGGATAAGTGGAGAAGATTTGTAGCTCAGTTGGATGATTTTGATAAAGTTTTGTTCTCTGAGCTAGATGGTTTAGTCGTAAAGGTTTCATCGTTCATCTTAACGACATCATCAGCATAAACTTCAGGTAGAAGTAAAGTGTTCTATGACAAACAAAACATCATCTACAAAATAAATTGTACGAACTGTGAAAAACACTATATCGGACAAATCGGACGCCCTCTTGATCAATATCAATTAGCAGTCAAACGCCATGACATGTCCTTACTTATATCAATCCACGTGGACAACTGTGGACACTCATTTGACTGGAAAAATGGGGAAATCTTGAATGGAAGAAATTCCAAAAACACCAATGAATTTTTAGGAGCTTAGCACTCAGATAAATCAGCGATCAACAAGCACATTGAAGTCGATCCAATTTATCAACCAATCAGGAAAATTATGTACAAACATCGGAACAAAAATCAAGCCAAGGGGAGATACAACCAAAACAAAGAAGTAAACAATGGCAAATTTAAGGCCAATAAGAACCAATCAATATCAAGGTGTACAGGACAAGCTGTCAACCACATGTGGAGAAATTCGAACACTTCACTTCTATCTGAAGTTTGTGCTGATGATGTCCTTCAGAAGAACGATGAGAGCTCCACGACTAAACCATGCAGCTCAGAGAACAAAACTCCATCAATTGATAAGTCCCGAAAAGAATGAACTCCGCGTTATGGATAGAAATCTGTCAAAAGTGACCAGTAAATTGCAGATTTAACATATCAATGAAACGATTCAAATAACTAAAGGACTCATCGGTTATGTATGTACTTAAAAACTTACATGGTAGTTTTTAACTAAACTGTCTTGCAAGGTAACTAAAAATGTAAATTATCTAAATGGTTACAATCAACTGAACTCTTACACTTGGAGATGGTGGGTTTTTACCGGGGCATATATGAAAGTCATATTATTGACATATTAACATAAAACCACCAGTGAAAATTGGGGAGTATTGAACAACTACTTAGCAGTGTCCATCTATAACCGCCATACCTTTCAAAATACTCCCTGTTGGTGAAATAGCAACTTGTTTGATATGTGTTGCTATTGTTTAAAACATTCCTGAACGTTCTGACGAATCAAGCTGTTCAATCTCGTTAGCTGTCTCGTATTATATCCTTTCCTTATCACTCTACTGTTGTCCTCTGAAATGGTCATACTGAATTTCATGAAGAATTTGAACCTTTATGTTTATACATGCTTATGAACAATCACTAAAAAGTGTCTAAGTGTACTGTCATGAAACAACATCTATCCATCAACATTCTTTAAATTTAGTTCTCTGTAATTTTATAAGTGTCTGAGGACCACTAACAAGAAAGTGACATCATTGATGAACATGGTAGATCTGATGCAGATGTGAAGGCGTAGATCGACAAAGCAAGAGCAGAATATCTACAATCGAACAAAATCTCTAACTCAAAACAACTGTCTGTCCACTAACACCAACGTCAGAATTTTCAATACAAATGTCAACACAGTTCTACTGTACTGGGTGGAAACCTGGAGAACAATGAAAGCTTTCATTCAGAACATACAAGTGTTTATTAACAGTTGTCTACGTAAAATACTTCTGATCCATTGATTAAACACTATCAGCAACAACATACTATGGGAGTGAACAAATCAGATCCCAGAGGGGGAAGAAATCAGGAAGAAGTGCTGGAAGTGGATAGGACACATATTTAGGAAAGCACCTAACTGTGCCACAAGGCAAGCCCCGATCCTTTGGAATCCTGAAGGTCAAAGGAGAAGAGGATGATCAAAGAACACATTACTCCGAGAAGTGGAGACAGACATGAGACGAATGAGCAATAATTGGATAGAACTGGAAAGGAAGACTCAGGAAGGAGTGGTATGGAGAATGCTGGTCGACGGTCTATGTTCCATTGGTAGTAACAGGCATAAGTATGTTAGTAAGTAGTAATTTATTAGTTGAATTCATGGATCAATGTAAACCATCCCACTATGGAAAACCTAGAAACACTAAACGGTCGTTTCGTCTTAGTATGAGACTTCTCAATAAAACGCATCCATGATCCATGAGCGCGCAACATCATGACCATTGAGCCATCATCTGATGGTGTTAATGTTTAACACATCCATCATTTTCATCAGTGAGTTACTATCTCACAACTGACCCAGTTGAACTCCACTAGTCACTGTTGATTTCTATGCTAAATGTCACCAATTTCGATGAATTTTGTTCTCTGATCCAAAATAGTTTGATTGTGTAGCTTTCATCGTTCTTCTAAATAAGATTCCCAGCAAAAACTTCAGGTTGGTCATATCATTCAAAAGAACATTGAAAGTTCCATCATCAAACTATTCAACTGAAAGTATAAAAACTTGATCAAAATTATCCACCATCTCCTTAAATATCATCAATTTAGTTTCTTTTTATTAAACACTAAAAATAAAAATATCAAACCTAACACATATATACTACTTTCATTTCAATAATATCAGTAGTATATATACATATATATATACATACATACCTGTTAGTAATTGGACCAATAAATGGATTCACTAAGAACTGTACAAGTGGTTTAACAGTAAATAGTATACCAATTTTAATATGTGGATTATAATTATCAATGGTATGAATAGTTGAATGGGAACAATTCCCATGAGTACAATTAGTTTCTATTAGTTCTTTATTTAATAATAATTTAGGTATAATTGGAACTGTAAAAGAAAATAAAAGAAAGTAAATATAAGATAATGGAAATTAAAATGACATAATGAATCAATAAATGGATGGCTGTTTCGTTCTTTTTGTAGGATTCTTCAGTGGCAGTACGCATCTATGATTCCATCTCATGAGATTCAAACCTAAAACCTATCAGTATTGTCTGGTGTTAACAGGTTTTCTATGGTGATCTAACTTCGATTGACTTATAATCACAACTATTGAAATAAGTTATTTGTTGTTTCTTTTGGATTGTAATTGTTGTTATATGTACATACTGTGCGTTACTTACTTACGCCTGTTACTCCTCGTGGAAGGGCATGGGCCCAACATCAGAGCTCTCCATCCAACCCTATCCTGGGAAATTCGTTTCAATTCTTTTCAGTTGTTATTCATCTTTTTCATATCTGATTCTATTTCCTGACGTAATGTGTTCTTTGGCCTTCCACTTTTCTGCTTCCCTTCAGGATTCCAAGTTAGGGCTTGCTTCATGATGCAGTTTGATGATTTGCGTAATGTATGTCTTATCCATTTCCATCATTTTTTCCTAATTTTCTTTTGCAGATGGAAGCTGGTTTGTCTTGTCCCACAGTAGGTTGTTGCATCCAGTTAACGGATATTATCTTATGCAAACAACTATTTATAAATAATTGTACCTTCTTGATGATGGTTGTGTTAGTTCTCCACGTTTCAGAGTATTGCGTCGAGATTGGCTAAATTCACAAGTACTGGGTTCTAATCTCAGAGTGAACATCAACCCTGAGATGCAAGTACATCCAACTGACGAGTACTGAATCGGACAAAATGCGTGTCCTGGATTACACTGTTAGTCACTTCATATAAAGGTTTGTCTAACCTGAAGATTTATATATAGCGATAAATTGTAATTGAGAATTAGTATCAGGACTAGAGATAGAGTAAGACTTCATTGTTTCATATGTAACGAAAGAAAGAACAACTTTGAACTACTCTGTTCCAAGTTCGAAACCCTTTGCATATACTTAAGATTAAAACAGATGAATAGTATTATTATAAATCACAGAAACAATGTGTTTCATAATAGATGACATCAATGTGTACATAATTCGAGCTTGATTAATTCAATCACAGTTCATCTATAGTTTTACAGTTTGAGAACAAATGACATAGAGAAGTTTTAAAACATGTTTTAAGACTATCTTTTAAAGTAAAATGCTTTATATCTAAGATGGTTTTCGGCTATCAGTAGAATTCAGAATGCGCGTTTCGTCCTATTTGGAACTCGTCAGCCAGAGTTAACGTTCATTCCACAATTCGAATTCATTATCGTTTGTATCAAATGCCACTTAGCTACTATGTCCTTATAAAGCTTATGACTTAAGACAATATCGAATCAATCCTTACAGGATACACCTATATCATCAAGAGACTGATCAATTGTAGTCCTAAATACAACAATGGGAAGATATAAGTAAACGATACTAAGGGCTTTTACATTTAAGTTGAGTTGAATACACTTCTTTGATATAGTTCAAAAACTTGTCAAGGTTAGAAATAGATTCAGAAGTTCTGAAATCGTAATGCATACGATAAAGAAACTCATTCTTATGGGTCCATAATAGTAGGTCTCTTAAGCCAAAATAAGGTTGCCAAAAACTGTTTCAGCCTCGGCCACATAACTACAATATTGTCTGTGTGCACTCTGGTTGTTGGGTTCACAAAATGCCGCTTGTGGATAACGACACGATGCACATAACCAAGTCTATGTAGGCATCTGTACACTCTTCACTCATTCGTATATAATGTAGAACACGGCTGCATATATTCCCGTATAATTGGTATAATCGTTATAGTCTGTTGGTATCTAACTTGTTCAAAGTGTCCCTTTTGAGATAACCTGTCGTATATTCCAAGAACCTATAAGGTATATTGATGCTATTTACCCAGTCTTCTTTAACACTACGTCCTCTATTAGATTTTCGTTTTCTAACAACGATTCTCCCGACTCTCCTAAACAAATCGTGTAGGCTTGTCATTTTTACTGCGCATATATGTCTACAATACTCATACTACTGAACAGCCGAAGCTTCAGTAACATCTGCAAATGTTGCAGCCAATGTTACTGGTATTTTTATTATCCAGTTCGTCTTAGTCTCAATCTGTATCGAGCAAAAAAGTTCTTCTTCTAGCAGACTTCTTCCTCCAACACATACTAGATCGAAACACAACATCATTACGGTAGTCTGCACAAGGTTCACAAGTCATTTGATGATCACAATCACAAATAAAGAGATTTCTTAGTAGTCCTATTTGTTGTAGCCGCTCAATTATCATGTTTTCTCTAAATTCTGTTGTGAGCCGATCTTATGGGAGTATCAGGTACTGAAATTGTCTCCGTGGACTTGAAATCTCTCAAATGTTTCTGAACAGCTCGTTCATAAATTATAGTTTCGTCACTTATTTTAATACAGATAGACCCCACATTTAAGTGGATGAAGAAAATGCTCCAGTTCCTCTTTTTATCGTCAAACATTTTAAATGTTTGTCAAGTGAATAACTGAAAAAAGCATAATTGATCCTCTGGTATATCGAGCTATTTGTTATGTTATAGTGAACAAGAACACCATTAGAGACAACCAAATGGATATTAATACAACATTACAGAACATCATAGTAAAATCTGAGAGTCATACAGAACTATACATTCTCTGTTCTCGTTCTCTTCGATCTTCTTAACCTTCTGCTACTAAGCATTCCAGTTTCTATTGGCGAATGATACATACTACTTATATCTGTAGACATCAGTAGCACACATACACACGATAACATGATCAAAGAAGACATTTAAAACTACTGAAATATGATTATGAATAAATAGCCTTATGGATATCGATAATTATCTATATACTGTCATCTTGAGTCAGTTTGCACTAAGAACCTATATGAAATAGTTGAATGAAACTAATGTATAAATAGTGATCATAAATGATGATGATGATGATGATGATGATGATGATGATGATGATGATGATGATGATGATGATGATGATGATGATGATGATGATGATGATGATGATGATGATGATGATGATGATGATGATGATGATGATGATGATGATGATGATGATGATGATGATGATGATGATGATGATGATGATGATGATGATGATGATGATGATGATGATGATGATGATGATGATGATGATGATGATGATGATGATGATGATGATGATGATGATGATGATGATGATGATGATGATGATGATGATGATGATGATGATGATGATGATGATGATGATGATGATGATGATGATGATGATGATGATGATGATGATGATGATGATGATGATGATGATGATGATGATGATGATGATGATGATGATGATGATGATGATGATGATGATGATGATGATGATGATGATGATGATGATGATGATGATGATGATGATGATGATGATGATGATGATGATGATGATGATGATGATGATGATGATGATGATGATGATGATGATGATGATGATGATGATGATGATGATGATGATGATGATGATGATGATGATGATGATGATGATGATGATGATGATGATGATGATGATGATGATGATGATGATGATGATGATGATGATGATGATGATGATGATGATGATGATGATGATGATGATGATGATGATGATGATGATGATGATGATGATGATGATGATGATGATGATGATGATGATGATGATGATGATGATGATGATGATGATGATGATGATGATGATGATGATGATGATGATGATGATGATGATGATGATGATGATGATGATGATGATGATGATGATGATGATGATGATGATGATGATGATGATGATGATGATGATGATGATGATGATGATGATGATGATGATGATGATGATGATGATGATGATGATGATGATGATGATGATGATGATGATGATGATGATGATGATGATGATGATGATGATGATGATGATGATGATGATGATGATGATGATGATGATGATGATGATGATGATGATGATGATGATGATGATGATGATGATGATGATGATGATGATGATGATGATGATGATGATGATGATGATGATGATGATGATGATGATGATGATGATGATGATGATGATGATGATGATGATGATGATGATGATGATGATGATGATGATGATGATGATGATGATGATGATGATGATGATGATGATGATGATGATGATGATGATGATGATGATGATGATGATGATGATGATGATGATGATGATGATGATGATGATGATGATGATGATGATGATGATGATGATGATGATGATGATGATGATTATACTATGTATAAGCAAATAACTGAATTGAAACAATGAAGATGGATGGAGATGGATGCTTTCAGTATGTAGTTCAAAGGAATTCAATCTTATCAAAGACAACACAACATCATTTCATAACATCATTATACCTTTATTATTGTTACACTTGTATGAATCTGTATGATTGAGTATTGCTTACTGCCGACGTATATATTCTACTATTAGTCGCTTAATTGATTTCCTTACGTGCATATATATGTGGGTGAGACTATAATTTATGGACGACTTTCAAGAGACGCCAGACTGACTTTGAGAGTATCCACCTAGAAACTACGACCAAATGATGGTTATAAACCAATATGGGGATTTTGAATGATGATTTAAAGTTGATAATTAGAAGTTAGAAATTAGATTTAGGGTTTTCCATACAAACTGACATCAACTGTAATACCAAAACTGTATTTATCCAAATGGATGAAAATCCAAGATCTATTATCATATACGGCTGATTAGTTCGTCCACAAATTCTAGTCTCACTTATATGTACATTTTAATCCCATCAATTTTGACACACGAACTTGTTCACTCATTCGATTGCTTTTCGACATTCATCTTTCATTCTTATCTCATGTATCAATGGTTTTGATGATCTGTACTTTATGCCATAATAAACACAATCAACACTTTGTACTTATCTTTTCTAATTTGTACATCGTTTGACGACATTATCTAATAACAATTTATCAGGATGAACTATTTATGAAGTTTAAGGATCATCATTAACGGAGGAAGAAACCTCTGAAAGTGAATAGGACACATTTTGAGGAAAGCATCAAATCGCTTCACAACACAATCACTCATCACTTGGAATCCTCAAGACCAAATAGCACATTACACCGAGAAATGGAGACAGACATGAGAAAAATGAACAAAAATTGGACAGAACTAAAATGATGTTGGGATAATCAGAAAAATATCCCAAAAAATTATCTTGTTAAGTCTAATGCTATCCTTGAACTTGAAATGGTATCACTCCCCTATTGGTCAATCTTTATTTCATGTGTCATTTTCCTGTTGGTCAAATGTAGTCTGTTTGATTGGTATATAAACAGAATAGGTTTGACATATCAGGATTCATATTGCAGAGGCTGAGATTGGTGTTCCGGACTTATCTGACTGGGCTAGGTGGAAAACAGGGTCAACCAAAACTCTAGACTGTTCATACGAGTTTACTTGTCTTTGATCCGAACGATAAGTCACTGCACAATAATCGGCGGTCACAAGATATAACAATATGAACTCGGAAAAATTAAAATCCGGATATCAACTCCGGATCTTCAAAAAGGAGAGGTGATATGATAGAAAGAAAAATCAATTTTCAATTGATTTACTCATTATGAGTTTTATTCAACATTCAACATCCGTTTTGATTCAACATGAGGATCATTCAGTGTAGTATTTGATTTGTTTTCCCAGTATGATATTCTCTTCTGTATAATATACGAGATATTCTTGTATTCCATTGACATGAACTATACTCATTGTGTGATTTGTTATAACTGAGTATGTGATTTCATCTTAATTATTAATCAAAAATGGGTGTACAATCAATATATAAATGAGTGTATTTTCTACTAGAGTCGTTGTTGTCGTTGTGTTTTGGGGGGTTAATAAATCATCACTTATACCAGTCTTTGTCTTCTAACTTTCGCATTGTGGGAATTGCAAGGGATCTTCGTTCCGAATATAAGTGATTAGCGACATTTTCCGGCATAACAATTGCGACGACCAGATATAACATGTCAGTTGGAGAATACTGGTTAGCAACCTATGCTTCATTGAGAGTAACAGTCGTAAGTAAGTAAGTAAGTAAGTAATGACATCGAGATTACATAAGATTACTTAATCAATACAGCTATATATAGATATACATAAGTGATCAATAATGACTTACCAATAGTAGTTAATAATACATTATCTAGAAGTAATGCAATAAGTACAATAATCAATATTGTTGTACGACTTCTGATACGATTCAGACAACTACTACTCATATTGGTTACTTTATTGATTTGATCATCTTGAGTTATATTCATGGTAGTTTCCTCTTTCATTATGGTATCTATGAAGTAAAATAATAATAATAATCAGTATGATCTGAATCAATTATGATCCATATTCATAGAAAGTGACTATGTCATTAATCTTTATTAATAAGAATTGAATTGATAATAAGTTAATATGTATCATGTTCATTTATAGAGATTATGTAATAGGTAATCAGCTTATGATTATATAAGAAGGTTTATATATATATAATGATAATCGGATCATTTATATATCACTATGCTACTACTTATGATTATGATCATGATCAATCATATTAGAAAACATCACGTAATTCATTACCATGAACTATAAGATTCATTCTATAGGTCTATGTTTAAATGAGTTCATCTTTGATTGATTACAATGTGTAAAACTATCGACTACTTTTGTTGTTATTGTTGTTGAGGTAATGGAAATCTATACATTTGAATGATATCACTATTAGTATATTATAATATATGCATTATTGATACATATATAAGTAGGAGGTCAGTCGCAGCCCGGATAGCTCAGTGGTAACGTCTCTGATTGTGTAGCTGGGTGACACGGAATCGAATCCGCCAGGAAGCACCAGTGCCCTCAAGATTACAGGTAAACCTTGCTGATGAGTGCCAAGTAGCACGAAATCCGGGTTCAGGGTTTCCTATTGACTACCTACAACCACCATCTAATCTCAACATATATAAGTAGTATGTATTATTCACTAATAGAAAGTAGATGGTAGAAGATAAAGAAGATTGAAGAGAACAGAATGAGAACAAAGAATGATTGATATGGAAACGAAAGAATAATGAAATATGAGACAATCGATTGATATTTTACAGAATGATGTATTTATTTTTACTGTATGTTATTCAGATATTCTGGTTAGCGTTTTCTTAGCGAGTTAGTTTTCTACAGGATGGGGTAGCTAACCCCATGCCCAACCCTCTTTCTTTATCCGGGCTTGGGACCGGCAGTAGCCCCAGGAGGGACTCCAGGCGGAGTTCTGTAATGTTGTAATGAAGTAGATTTGAATGTTCTTGTCTGTGTTCTCGTTCAGGTTATAAGAACGCCTATAAAACGTTTTAATATTTTTGATAATGATAATAATAATGGGTAAAGATTATGCAATATCGCGAATTAATTATGATTGGACATTAACACAAATCACAAGAATAAAACTGTGATAGTGTATCCGATGCAGATGTAATGGCGTAGATCGACAAAGCAAGAGCAGCATATTTACAATTGAAGACCATCTGGAACTCAAAACAACTGTTTGTCAAACAACAACAAGGTCAGGATTTTCAATACAAATGTCGACACAGTCCTACTGTATGGGGCAGAAACCTGGAGAACTACGAAAGTCATCATGTAGAAGATACAATTGTTTATTAACAGTTGTCTCCGTAAAATACTTCGGATTCGTTAGCCAGACATTATTAGCAGCAACCAACTGTGGGAGAGAACAAACCAGATTCCAGTAGAATTAGAAATCAGGAAGAAGTACTGGAAGTGGATAGGATACATTTGAGGAAAGCATCCAACTACGCCACAACACAATCCCTCACCAATTGTAATCCTCAAGGCCGAAGGAGAAGAGGATGATCAGAGAACTTATTACGTCGAGAAATGGAGACAGACGTGAGACGAATGAGCGATAATTGGATCGAGCTGGAAAGGAAGACTCAGGACAGAGTGAGTTGAGGAATACTGTTTGGCGATCTATGTTCCATTTGTAGTAACAGGCGTAAGTAAGTATGTCTTGTGTAAATTGCTAAGTAGTTATTTATAAACAGTTAATTAAATTGTCTGCCGACAAAAATAAGACCTCTAGTTCAAATATATCGTCGCAAATCAGAGTTTTTTCAACTTGCCTAAAATATATTATTATTAAGCCATCATAGTGATTGGAAGCATTCGATCAGGAATCCTGGAAATAAGCATTATGATATTTGGCACTTGTCAGTAAGTTATATCTGTAATCTGGAGGTCATTGATGCTGCTTGGCGAATTCGACCCTGAGTTGCACAGCTTCACAGTCGAAGACTACCACTGAACTGTTCAGGACGTAAATGACATAATGTAACGCTGAGATATATTTACAATTGACTGAACATTGAATACTGACAAACCAATGATATTTCAACGGTCAACAAATGGTTAACTACTCCTAACCATCTTAATTTTAAATGTAATGTATGTGACTTCCAGTCATTTAGAATGGTAACAACATAACAACTTGATCAATGGAATTCGATGAGCACTGAATCAGTAAATAGGCATAAGATTGATCATTGAATTAGTGTAAGAATTTTAAGGAAATATTTGAATTTTTATAGTTTTCTTCTTGGATTGGCATTGGTTAGGCAGCTATTAAAAATCAGGGAGTACCGGATAGGTATCTCTTCCCATCATGAGTCATATCAGAAGATCTAAACCAAGATCTTATAGTGCATGAAACCCTTTGTATCTAGCGCCAAGCGCTTAACATTAAGACTAATGGGGTCGCACCTACTGGTTTATATATCTAACTTCAGTCATTGTATGAAGTATTGACTTTCTCATAGTGAAGCACTTACTTATTAATGTTAGTAAAAGATGGTTGCACAATACTGAGAATTGATCGCAGTTAGAAACGGTAACCATTTTGACATCGTCTAAGTGATCATACGATTAAATGTTCGTCTGAAGATCTTCAGATCTTGAGTTTTATACCCTATAGGGTCAAGGTTTCAATCTTCCGATGTAATGGATATCAGGACGTAATTTCTGTGAAATGCTTCCTTTTTTTTCAATGATAATCTAACTGAAATCAGTTCTCAGTGCAAACTATGTTCATCAGCTATAGTAAACGAATCATTATATCAATAGTTGAGATCATGAATCAAGTGAAGCTAGACCACCATGGAAACACTGGATGACCGTTCCGTCCTATTGTAGGACTCCTCGGCAGTGCGCATCCACGACACCGCCTTGTGGGATTACTATATGTCTATAAGCAAGCTCATATTACAAGACAATGAAACCAGCTATCTAACTGGACTTTCAATATAATTAAAACTAATTTCCCTTAGAAACTAGTGTCACTTAGAAAAATCATCAGTAATATATTGAATCGTGCTTTATAATACACACGTAATCATAAACAGTATCAATGGGTTTAAATACAAGGTATCAGCGGCCTATGCTCCATTGGGAGTAACAGGCGTAAGTAAGTCATATAGACTCTCCTCTTAGTGTCATTGTTACGTTACTAACTGATTGTCAACTGTACAAATAACCTTGGTTACAGTTAATCACATAAACGATGTAAGCATTCCATCACCTATACAGTTTTTATTTACCATATATTGATCATGTAACAAAGTGATTTAATAAGGAAATGACATAGTTATTTATAAATCATATAAATATGCTGTATGCTACTTATAATGACTGATATTAGTAGTATATAACAGAAATTGAAAATGGAATATCTGTCAGTAGAAGTTTGGTACGTTGAGAACATAGTGGAAATCGGAAAGTAATTCAAATAACAACGAAATTCAAAGGAATAGTGAATTGTATAAAGGATAATACAAAGAAGTTGTACAAATAATGTATTCAATGAATGATTTCCATGTATATTTCAAAAGTACTATGTGTTGTGTTGGATATGAAAACTATACATTCATTGTATTATTTGCATATGTTCCTTCAGCTGAACTTTATATAATTCATGATTCTTTCAATTCTATCTTTATTACAATTACTTTCTGTTAACAGTTCAGTTCTTGCCAATTTGATCTTTTCAATCATCTACTGCTAGACATTTCATTTCTGATTGATGTTGCATACTACTTATATCTGTCATCATAAGTAGCATACAACATGAGGTTATTTATTTGAACACATAAATATTGGTACAAATGGGCATCGAATACATATGTGACGCATAATGCACTTGATTTGTGTGTGTGTGGGCTGTGATACTAACCGGGTGTCTAAACTGAAGCAGGAGGTTTTCTTAGGAGGCCACACACGCAGCCTTCGACCTAAAGCTCTGATCCACAATGCAGTGGGGCAACCTAAGAAGGTACAGTCTCATGGTAGCCGGTGACCGACAATTGATTCATGCACTATTTATTCCGTCAGGATTTCGGAGCCTATGTGCATCATTGGTTTGGAACCAGGATTTCCCAAATCCCCTAAGTAGATCCTCCATATCCACCAACACGGTTAAAACCCCTGACGGGCATTCGCATTTTGTCCTCTCAATTTCTTAAACAACAGTAATACCGTGAGAAGGCAGTGAGTAGAACTCTCCTGACAGTGGTTGTATACGCGTGGTCATGTGAGAGCATTTCGAGGGGGCGAGCTAACTCTTCCCACTCTCTGCTGTATCAGAGCATTTGGGACAGCATTCAACATATTAGTATTATAAAATTAATGCATAGACAAATGGTTATAAACAAGTTTATTGTATTAAGATAGATTACCTGTGAATATATCCTTGATAAATTTCAAAATACTGATTTGATAATGAATCCAATTTATCTGGGACACAATGGAAACACGTAGAATCTTAGCAAAATGTAAAAAGACGTGCAGTTTTACGAATGAACAATGATTGAATATATTTCTATAACATGTCGTTATTTCATAAACAATACCCCTGCCATGAGAAGGTGTTAAGTAGGGCATCCCTCACTTACATACTTACTTAGGCTTGTTACACCTCTTGGAGGTGGATAGACCACCCATTAACATTCTCCATTCAACTCTATCCTGGGTAATCCTTTCCAGTTGCTATTCATCCTTTTCATATCTACTTCCATTTCTCGACGTGTTATGTTCCTTGGCCTTCTTTTTTTCTGTTTCCCTTCAACATTCCATATTAGCGCGCTTGCCTCGTGATATAGTTTGATTTCCATTATATACATATATATATATATATATATATATATATATATATATATATACATATATATATATGTTCTATCCACTCCCAATGTCCTTTTTTCTAATCTCCTCCTCATTTACAAGTTGGTTTATTCTCTTCCACAATAAATTGTTACGGATAGTAATTAGCCAACGGATATCCCTGATAGTGGCTATATACTTGTGGCTATATCGTTCAAAATCTACTTAACAATGATACCATAACAATCTCTGAACAGAATAAGACTATAATAAGGTCCCGATAGTTACCATTTATTATTCACATCCGAGGTTATATCATATATACTTAGATATTCTTAAAGAAAAGAAAAGAATATTATGAATCTAACCAATTGATTGACTATTGAATTGTAAAATAGTAGTTGAGTAGTTTTTTTTGTGTAAATGACATAGTTTATGTGGAAAAAGTGAACAATGTTCCTCTTCTCCCCTCCCATTCTTTCTCCTTCTTCTTCTTCTTCTTCTTCTTGTTGTTGGTGTTGTCCTTCTCCCCCTCGCTCTGTCTGTCTATCTTGTTTGTTTACTTGATTTATTGTGTTTTCTTTTCTTTTAGTGATCAATCATATATCCTCATTTATATTTATTTAGTAGTATGTTTTGATTGATTTAAGATCATGTTAGACCAGGTTTGAAAATGTGGAATCACTGGACGACTGTTTCGTCCTGTTGCGGTACTCCTCAGCAGTGTTCATCCATGATCCTGCTCATTGGATTCGAAAACAGAGTATTCGATCTCGAGCATGAACCCTTAGACCACTGAGTTAGCCGTCATCCAACGGTGTTAAAGTTTAATCTCAACCAATCCATGAAATTGCATGACTATCCTCCATTGTACTGAGGTAGATATCTGTCTCTATCCAACGCGGATTAACTCCACTGGTCAAGAGTTTCTCACTAGAAGTCGGAGAATTCCTTCACGAAGCTATTCACTAGTGAGCTCATGGTGAGCATCAGTTAAGGGTTGTAGAGATTATTAGAGTTTTTGATTGAGATCATGAACCACAATAGAACGAAATGGCTGTCCAGTAATTTCAGGTTTTCCATGGTTGTTTAGCTTCAATTGACTTATGAATTAAACTATTGAATAAATATATATATATACACGGAATTATGATCATGTTAACGAAATAATTCCAAGAGGTGTCAATATATAGATCCAATGTGTTTGTGTGTAACTGATAAGGAATACGTTGTATAATCTGAACTAAAACGTGTTCAACGGATCGCTATTGAAATGAGTAGATAACGTCACAATGAGGTGTGTATACAAACACATGTATTTAGCAAACGGTAATCAGTAAGACATATGAAGAAGTTAGTTCACCTAAACAAGTTAATTTAGTCAATATAGTGTATATATATATATACTGAATAGTTAATGAAAACAAAGATGGATAGGGGTTAGCAGTGGATTCCAGTACGTGTGTTTCGTCCTATTTGTGACTCGTCATCTGGATGTATAATCTGAACTAAAACGTGTTCAACGGATCGCTATTGAAATGAGTAGATAACGTCGGCGAACAAATTCACAATGAGGTGTGTATACAAACACATGTATTTAGCAAACGGTAATCAGTAAGACATATGAAGAAGTTAACAAGAATAATGATAGTTCACCTAAACAAGTTAATTTAGTCAATATAGTGTATATATATATATACTGAATAGTTAATGAAAACAAAGATGGATAGGGGTTAGCAGTGGATTCCAGTACGTGTGTTTCGTCCTATTTGTGACTCGTCATCTGGATATATCTGTATCACGAAATTGATATTCACTCTCTGAGATTCGACCGGAGAACTGTTCGCTTCAAACTCTATTACATTATCCACTTAGCTACTAAGTCTTGATAGTCATTTCCTTATACAGTGGGTTAACATTTAAATGGTAAGATTCAAGGCAATCGATGCAAAAATGAATTAAAACTTTACCCTATTAAACAAGCTATTGACTACTTGAAATCAGTAGCTAAATGTATCAAATGATAGTGTTTGAAACAAATGGTATTATGTTCTTGTCTCATAGTGAACATCGACTCTTTGATACAAGTACATCCAATTGACGAGCCTCAAAAATAGGACGAAATGTATATTCAAGTTCTTTTATAAGCAATGATAGATAGTGGCTAACAATGGAATCCATGACGCGCGTTTCGTCCTATTTGGGACTCGTCAGTTGGATGTTTCTATTGCTAATGACTATCCATTAATAACTTATAAATCATAACTCAGTTTCTATAATATAGATCAATGTTGAATAGAATTCCCAAAATGACTTACTTTACAAAGAAAAGCTTTTTTAAGATTATTTTATCATATAGGTTATCTCATATATCATTTGGCTTATCAAATATATATATACATAGATACTTGGGTATATCTATGCAAATATGTAGGTACATTGTACATGAAACACATGATGCCATGAAGCAATATGACACGCTTAGAAACACATTTATTAGTGACTAATGAATTCCTTTTATCACATGGCAACTATTAATATTTAACTATAGACCACTATTATTATTATTATTAATCAGAATTTATTTAGAAAGTATAGTTACTATGTGATTGTATTTTTTTTGTGTCGTTTTTTTTGTTTTTGTTTTCTTCATTAAGTCAGTTATTCAATTATTGAATATCCATTGTTTCTATGGCGTTGAATTATTTGGCGGGGGGTAGGAGGGGTTGATGTTGGGGGTGAGGGTTGTGGTAGGTATTATTTATACAACATAATAAAACTACCTTATGAATAAGAATATTTTTGTACATTTATATATTAATATGAAATGAGTTAAATGATAAACGATGAAAATGGAATCAAAATACTCTGGTACAAACGAGAGTAGGGAGAGTTAGCTCTCCCTCTCTCTCTCCAAATGCTTTCATATGGCCACACGTATACAATCATTGACAGAGATGTTCTACACACTGCCTTCTTGCGACATTATTGTTGTTGATGAAATTGAAAGAAAAGCGAATATACGTCAGAAGCTTTAACCGGGTTGGTAGATATGGAGGATTCACTTAGGGCTGTTAGAAAATCCAGATTCTAATCTAATGGTGTATATGGGCTTTGGTATTCTGAATGAACAAATAGCATATGAAACAATTGTTAGTCACCGGCTACCATGAGACTGCATCTCCTAACATTGTTCTACTGCATTGTGTATCAAACTTTTTAGATTGAAGGCTTCATGTGTGGCCCCCTAAAGAAACTGCCTGCTTCTATCTGAACATCCATGCAGTATCACAGCCCACACACACAAATTAAGTGACTTGTATATCGCATATGTATTCGGTTCCCCCTTGGTACCAATATTTATGTATCCAAATATAAATAACAAAATACTGTGATATAAAAGTTAATTTTTCTATTCCAGGTTGTTATCGCCTAGATATTGACATACTTGTAGTAAATACCATGGTTATTAAATATGAATTTATGTATCATGATGTAGAGAAGATTCCAATCGAATTAATAAGGCAGCGAAGTGGATTACATGATGACATTTGAAGTGAACTGTACTGAGTTCGATTCCTAGAGTGAACATCAACTTCCAGCTTCATTTGATGAGTCTTAAAATAGGACTTAACACGCATTCTGGATTCCACTATTAACCCGCCATTGATCTTTGTATATAAAACTTTGTTTTAGTTACATAAATAAGGTTTGAGAGGGAAAATTGCAGAACATCGAACTAATAGTTCGACCTCATTGAGTTATTAAACAGTAGACGATTATGTAATGAAGTGACCAGAAACAGATTAATAATACTAAAGAAAGTTGGGATCAGTCAATTATGAATTAATTAGAAATGACAATGATGTAATCACGACTGATTGATCACTGAGTGGTGATCAGCCAATCGTGATTACATCTCAGTCCTACAGGAGGTCGGTCACGGTCCGGATAGTTCAGTAGTAATATCTCTGATTGTGAAGCTGGGTGACACAGGGACAAATCCGTCAGGGAGCACCAGTTCCCTCAAGATTACAAGTACACCTTGCTGATGAGTGCCAAGTAGCACGAAACCTGGGTCCAGGGTTTCGTGTTGACTAACTCCAACTACTATCTAATCTCGACAATGATGTAATTAAACTTGAGAGAGAGAAAGAAGAGATTTGAAATAATGAATGAAGCAATAAAAGGGATATCATGTTACCATGACAAAGAAAGATTTATTACTATCTCTTTTTAGCCACATAGATCTGGTTTCAAATATTTGATGGGAAAATATTGAAAGATTGGAGTTTGATTGTTTATTAATCATCTTGAAAGATTTCACCGTGTCCATTTGATGTCCTATATCAAGGAGAGGTCATAAGATGACACTGCTGAATAGTTATAATCCACTTGTCCTTATATATATATTCTTTGAATCAAACATAGGCTCTCCTATCTGTTCCACCAATGTAACTTCTTTGACGGATACATATGATTACGTATATACAGTTGATCGTACTATGAAAGAGATAGTTATGGACAAGGCAATCAATTGAGCCTCTGTATAAATACTAGTCAATACAGAAATAAGATACTGAAAATCCTTTTCTATACCATTAAAATAATCTTATCAGAAATCAATAATTCACACTCTCAACATTTTTGTATCAGGAATCCTCAAGAAATCCTCTCTGCTAGCCACTATTCATCATTGCTTATTATGGTTGTGAATTAAAGCCCGATCGAGGCAATATGTACAGTATGCACATGTGCCAACAAGAGACTGATCAATTCCAATCCTACATAACAATTGGAAGGTACAGGCAAACAATACCAAGTGAATCTAAAATTTCACCCCGTTTCATAAGTTAGCGGCTATCAGGATTCAGTAACCAAATGGATAACGCGATGACGTTTGAGGTGGACGGTAATGGATTCGAGTCTCAGGGAGAACATCTGAAGAGTTACAGATAGGAGGAAACACTCGTTCTGGATTCCACTACTAGCTACTATCCTCATATTTGCTTAGAATGCTTGTGGCTTTAGGCAATAACGAGGTAATCCGTACAGGATACACATATGCCGAAAAGAGATTGATCAATTGCTTTCGTACACAAAATGGGAAGATACAAGCAAACAATACCAAATAAATTGCTGTAGTAAAACTCAGCCTTTAGCTCTTCTACAGTTACTGCCGGTCCCAAGCCCTAGTAAAGGAGGCATTGCTGTAAATGAATTTTATTATTAGTTGAAGCTAGACATTAACACCATTGGATGCCGGCTGAGTGGTCTAGTGATTAAGCGCCTGGTGCGAGACTGATAAGTCCTGGATTGGAATCCCGCGAGGTGGGGTGATGAATACGCACTACTGAGGAGTCCCGTGCTAGGACGAAACGGCCCTCCAGTGCTTCCAGGCTTTCCATGGTGGCCTGACTTCAATTGACTCATGATCTCAATTATTGAAATTATTATTATTATTTTCAATATTCTAATTTATTCTTCATTTCCAAATGCCAAATATTGGAATTCTTCATACATTATGGTAAATAAAACTTGGTGCCTTGTGTTGCTTATGACTAAAATTAAAGAAAATTAGTTGACAGTTTTAAGAATTACAATTGATTGATTGTTATTGGTAACACAAATCAATATAAAGATTAGACAATGTTTCATCCTCACATTGAACACTTCAACAGTATGCATTTACGAGCGAAGTATCGATTCCGAGCGGATGTGCAATGTTGTTATGTCCCGATACACATAAGGAATGGTAACTTTTGGGATCCATTTATGGACCAATACTATCGTGTAATTTTTATGTAATAAACTGTTCATATTCATATCCCTCTATTTATGAGCCTTATTTTGACCTATGAACTATTATTCTTAAATTATGCCCAGTCTATTAATCACTACCTCCCACATTCACAGCCACATTTGACCAAATCTTGTATAAATATTGTTTTCTATTTTATGGTACGATGTGGTCTGTTTAGTTGGTATATAAATCCAGTATGTTTAAAGTACAGGATTCATATTGCAGAGGTTGAGATTGGGAGAAGAACAGATAAGGAATCTAGACTGCTCATACGGGTTTACGCGTCATTGATCCGATCGATAATTCACTACTCTCTCATTAGCGGTATCGTTACGTTATACATTAACAGGGCAAACAGGTCACAAGTTATAACAAATGTTGAGGAGTTTCATACTAGAATGAAATAGTTGTCTAATGCTTTCTGATGTTTAACCGATATTCAACTTTGATTTGTTTGTGAATTCATTAGAATTGAATCATTTCGACAAACTTTTATACTGATGATCCATTTATCTGTCTAAATGTATTTATATTGTAGTGTCGGTTACTATGTGAAGCCCATATACCCTATTCTAGCTTCTGAACAGGTCAATTCATTCATTCATTTATTCTTCTTAAATTACATTTTGACCATGTTCATTATTCACTTATCATCACTGATTGTTTTCATATGAGCGTATGTGTATGTACCCCTCTTATCCTATTCATCACATGTCTGTAACTTATTATTGTGTGACTATCAATACTGGCTAACTGTTAGGGATGATAGATCCCCAAAACTTATATTTTGTAATTTTATCATATCGATTAACTGATCGATTAAATGATTAAATAGAAATCAATTGACGAACTTATCGATTAAATATTTGAATGGCTGTCGATTGATGACCTTACTGATTAATGTTTAAAAACATTTTATTATGACAATATCGATTATATACATTTTGTATAAATACGCTCGACTTGTGTGCATGACCTGACTTGGTATCTGCTGTTTGCCTGTAGAATACACTTTCTACACCATACCCAGACTTCTTGATCGAGTTAGCTGAGTCGGGGACAACGGACCAGAATAGCCTATCGAGATTCTGAATCTTTTGATCCGATCGATAAGTCACTGCCCTCTAGTCGGTGGCTTTTGAGTTACAGCACTAATATTTGATTAAATTGAGTTGGGTTACAAACTTTCTTCACTTCGCGTGTTTTTGTTTTGCTTCGCTCTCTTTACTTCACTTCAATCGCTGCAATTCTCTGATTGTTTGTTCCGAACGACAAGTGTACAAAATATACGTATTCAAATCTTCATTCTTGTATTTGACTTATTTTAATTCCGTTATTCACTAACGGAGATTAAGTCGATGGTTATATACGAGGATTGATGATATGTATATGTATATGTATAAACGCGATTGGTTCAATGGAAACAATTATTATTATAACCAATTGTACTAGGGATTGTTTTACTGTACTTGTTTGTTTAACTGTACTAAAGACATTCTTTCTTCCATTGATTGTGACCTTGTACGAATTCGGTTACGTTCAGTAACCACACTTGTACTACTTTGGCACGATCTCGGTATTCTTTCGA